ATCCTTAAAGTTAGAACGTTTATCTGGATCTGACTAAACTGAAGAGTACCACAGCGAATAAATCAGCTTCATAGATTGTCTTCTCTACCTTTTTTTACATCCATTCTTTCCAAAAACAATGCTTTATGCAATTTTCAAAGTGATCAATAGTAACTAAGTATATATTTTTTCTTCAAATACTTTCACGTAAACCTACAATAATGACCGGACTCATTATCTCTTTTTGGATAGTCGGGTTTCATATTTTCGAAAGTTATTCGAGGCTAATCTTTTGATCCTGAATACTTGATATGTCTTACAGACTCAAATATAGTGTCATGAATCTTTAACATGATTAAGTAATCAGTATCTCAGTTTGATTATTTCAGTCATCTTATTTTACATGAAACTATGAAAGGACTAAGTGCTATACACAATGTGATATCTAAAAGTTAACAAATTACAAATAGAACAGATAAAATAGATTTCATTTCTTTCTGTTTCGAATCAACTTTATTAGGCTAAACACCATACCGATTGCTAATCCGATTATTACAATTTATGGTCAATTTGATTAGCAGTCCTATTTTTATCATTGGAAATACTCAGCTTTACAAAATAAACATTTATTTGGGTCTTCCACATGATTTGTATGACAAGAATAAATATCCGAAGAACGTCTTCAATTTAACTTACCTATACACCTGTTGCTTATCAACAAAGCATATTTATAGTTTCAGAAGATTTGAAATCAGCAGAAATTTCAAATCATTGTCTCATATATAATTACAAAGAGAAACGTTGTAATTGTAAAGAACACATCTATAAGACTAGATCATGTTGATAAATCTTTTGTATTGGTTAAAATTTACAAGCTAATATTTAGTATCTAGCTCTAAAACAACATACTTACTTACTGACGCCTGTTACTCCTTATGAAGGAACATAGGCGGCTCACCAGCATTCGCCATCCAACCCTGTCCCAAGCAATCCTTTCCAGCTCCGTCTAGTTGTAATTCATCATTTCCATATCTGCTTCTATTTCCCGACGTAGTGTGTTCTTTGGCCTTCCACTTTTCCGCTTCCCTTCAGGATTCCAAGTTAGGGCTTGCCTCGTGATTCAGTTTGATGATTTGCGTAATGTATGTTCTATCCATTTCCATCGTCTTTTCCTAATTTCTTCTTCAGCTGGAAGTTGGTTTGTTCTCTCCCAGAGAAGGCTATTGCTGATGGTATCCGGCCAATTGATGTTGAGTATCTTGCGTAGACATCCATTTATAAATACTTGCACCTTCTTGATGATGGTTATAGTAGTTCTCCAAGATTCAGCTCCGTACAATGAACTGACTGTCTTGACGTTCGTATTGAAGATTCTCACTTTGATATTGGTTGAAAGTTGTTTTGAGTTCCATATGTTCTTCAATTGTAGGAATGCGGCCCTTGCTTTTCCAATCCTCGACTTTACGTCTGCATCTGAACCTCCTTGTCTATTGACGATGCTTCCCAGATATGTGAAGGATTCTACATCTTCCAGAGTTTCGCCATCAAGAGTGATTGGATTGCTGTTCTCCGTGTTGAGTTTGAGGACCTTGGTTTTCCCTTTGTGTATGCTGAGGTCTACTGATGCAGAGACTGCTGCTACACTGGCTGTTTTCATCTGCATTTGTTCGTGTGTACGTGATAGGAGGGCTAGGTCATCTGCGAAGTCCAGATCGTCTAATTGGTTCTGAGCTGTCCATTGTATTCCGTGTTTTCCTTCAGATGTCGAGGTCTTCATAATCCAGTCGACCACCAGAAGAAAGAGGAAGAGAGAGAGTAAACAGCCTTGTCTGACTCCGGTCCTTACTTGGAATGCATCTATCAGCTGTCCTCCATGCGCGACCTTGCACTGTAGTCCGTCATATGAGTTCCGGATGGTGTTGACAATCTTCTCAGGAACTCAGTAGTTTCGAAGAAATTTCCATAATGTCCTCCTATCTACACTGTCGAATGCCTTTTCATAATCAATGAAGTTGATGTATAGTGTTGAGTTCCACTCACCTGATTGTTCGACGATGATCCGTAGTGTCGCGATTTGGTTTGTGTACGACCGATCCCTACGGAATCCAGCTTGTTGATCGCGAAGTTGCGAGTCTACCGCGTCTTTCATCCGGTTTAGAAACACTGTTCAAGACTTTACCTCGTATTGACAGTAATATAATGCCACTGTAGTTTTCACATTTGCTCAGATCTCCTTTCTTTGAAATCTTGACGAGGTGTCCTTCTTTCCAGTCCATCGGCACTTGTTCTTCCTCCCAAATCTTTCTGATTAGAAGGTAAAGCATGTTTGTATTTACTTCGATTTCTGACTTCAGTGCTTCAGCTGGTATATTGTGGGCTCCTGCTGCTTTCCCGTTCTTGATTTGTCTGATGGCCATTCTGATTTCTTCCGCCGTTGGTGGATCGACATCTATAGGATGATCTGTGTGTGCTGCTTCGATGTCCGGTGGATTCATTGGAGCCAGCCTATTCAGGAGTTCCTCGAAGTATTCTACTCATCTGTTTCGAAGTTGTTGAATTTCAGTGATTGACTTGCCTTCTTTGTCCTTGACCAGTCTCTCTGGTTTACTATATTTCCCTGCTAGTTTCTTCGTTGTGTTGTAAAGCTGTTTCATATTTCCTTCTCTCTCAGCATTTTCCGCTCTTGTTGCTAGTTCTTCCACGTATTTCTGCTTGTCGGCTTTAATTCTCTTCTCCACTTGCTTGTTTGCTTCTATGTATTCAGCTTGTGCCTGGACTTTCTCTGTTCGTGTTCGGCTGTTGTTAATTTCGGCCTTCTTGTCCTTCCTTTATTTGATCTTGTCCAGTGTTTCTATAGAGATCCATTCCTTATGATGGTGCTTCTTGAGGCCCAGAACCTCGTGACACGTTGAAGTTAACGCTTCTTTGATACCTTTTCAGTTGTTCTTCATAGTAGTTCTTCTTCCTTCAGTAGATCCTGTGTAAGGCTTGGAACCTGTTGTTGAGAGTTATCTTGAATTCGTTGAATCATCTTCTAATTTCCTCTTCAGGTAGAACCTGGTTTGTCCTCTCCCCCAGTAGGTTGTTGCTGATGATATGCGATCAATGGATGTTGAGTGTTCTAGACCTATACATTTATTCTCTAAAAACCTGATTTTACAGACTAAAAAATGAAATAACTTTTATAACATTTCAAGAGTAGTCAATGCTACACTTCGAATAACATCATGTACTAAAGAGGATGTCATTGAAACTTATGAAAGTCAACTTCGTCACCTGATTCTTTAAAAAAAAAAGAATTTCGCAGACACCACATGTTTGATATTTTCACAACTTTAAACTACTTATTAGATTGATCCATTTTCGTCCAAATCATGTTGATTTACTGAATTGAATATTTTTAAGTGAGGTCTGGAATACGGAATAGTTAAAAATATTGACAATCAAATCAATATTAGGATCCTGACAATCTTCAACATTTAAACTCCGTATGGAAATAAACTCGAAAAACGCAAAAGACGTTTTTAGTTCGAAGGTTTAATTACTTACAGAAAATGAAGAATATGTTAATTTTTAAGAAAAAATGCTAAAAGTATAACTTATGGTAGTTAAGTGATATGTGTAATATAAGCTGTTTTCTAGGTATTTTTAGAATTTATTGAAATCATGAACAAACCAATTTTAGAACACTATTGAAAATCTGAAAGCACTGGACGGTCACTTTGTACTGATGTGGGACTTTTTAGTAGTGAGCATCCATGATCCTGCATACAGGACTTGGATCCAGGACCTTTGATCTCACGTGAACGTTTCATCTTTAAACCATCAAACCGACATCTAATGGTGTTAATATCTAATTTAGTGGCCCGTGGATCTAACTCCATGTAGATCGTACGAATGTTTGTTATCGCCTATTCTCGTATACAATTATCGACTTAAATCACGTTAGTCAATAACGGAATTTAGATAAGTCAACTAACGAGAATGGCCTTTGAATACATATATTTTATATGTAAAGTGAATGTAATGGAACGAAGCAAAATGACGCGCAGTGGAGATGGCTGATAAGCCAGGCGTTACTCAATATTTATAGGCAGACAAAATAAACTACGGACATGTGATGAGTCATGGGATATGATGTGTACACACATGTACGCTCAGATAAAAACAGTCAAGACTGATAAGCGAATAGATTGACAAGGTCAACACATATAACTCAAGTAGAAGGAATAGATTGGGCTGTCCGAAAGTTAGAATAAAGTATATGGGCTTAACATAATAACTGACACTACACTAACATCAACTACACGACAATCTTTTACTGACACGGTTGAACTCTACTGATCACGGCTTCTCATTAGAACTTCAAGAATTACCTCTTAAAGCCAGTCACTGATGAACGTATGATAATTATCATTATAAAGTTAATCTATCCATGATCTCAATAAAAACTCAACCATCTCCACAACCCTATATTGATTTTCAAAATTTTAAAAAAATATATATAAAAACATCAACTGATAAAAGATATTTTCATAAAACTTAATAGGTAACTATTATGTGCTTAGTTTTTCCCATGGTCACATTAAAGACTAAACAATCAAAGAAAATAACAATCAATATTCAATGATATATTTATTAGCAAAAAAAAGCATTATTAATCAATTACTTACTATTATTTTAACTAACTATATCACGTAGCAACTAATCGGAATACAAAAATGTACCTTTTTTTCTTTTAGAAAAATCACTATCTATATATGAAAAACATTGGCTAAACATCCACTCATCTAGTTTATATCATCTTATCTTAATGAAACTAAGAAAATAAATTTGTGTATCAAACGGTTATCATGAATTATACAGACAAGCAAAACAAAACAAAACAAAATGTAACAATGAAATACACACTAATCATCATCATCATCATCATCATCATCATCATCATCATCCTCAGCGGCAGCAGTAGCAGCGACAGCAACAGCATCGGTTTATGCAATAAAACCTGAGATAAACAACATTCATTCTTCTATTTTCATTTTATTTGAAACAGAATTTAACATTGAAGAAAGTAATTGTTCTTTAGATTTTTCCATAAATTGTTTACTAATCTATGAAAGTTTTAAAAGAAAAGAAAAGTAGCAATTAATTAAATTCATTTTAACAGTTGAGATCATCAGTCATCATGGAAAACCTAGAAATCCTATTGTGAGACTTCTTAACAGTGTGAATCTACAATCTCACCTCCTGGGATTCGAACCCAGGACTTAAAGTGATTTTGATTTTGTGGAGATTGCTATGGAGACTGATCTTAGTAAGATAACAATTAACTACTAGTATAGGGGGTTGTGGAGATTATTAAGTTTTTGATTGAGATCATGAACCGATTGATGTTAGACCATCACAATTGAAAACCTGGAAGCACTGGACGGCCGTTTCGTCCTATTGTTGGACTCCTCAGCGGTGCGCATCCACGATCCCGCGAGCGGGATTCGAACCCAGGGCCTTCGGTCTCGTGCGGGATCGTGGATGCGCACTGCTGAGGAGTCCCACAATAGGACGAAACGGCCGTCCAGTGCTTCCAGATTTTCAATTGTGATGGTCTAACATCAATCGGTTCATGATCTCAATCAATAACAATTAACTAACTGATTAAATCTATTGTTATTATTCATATTATGTAATCTAGTTTTAGGTGGAGTTTTGTTCTCTCAACTGGATGGTTTGGTCGTGGAGCTTTCATCGTTCTTCTGAACGACATCATCAGCACAAACTTCAGATAGAAGTGAAGTGTTCGAATTTCTCCATATGTGTTTCACGGCATGTTCTGTGCACCTCGATGTTGATTGGTTCTTATTGACCTTAAATTTGTCATTGTTTACTCCACTTCTACCTGAAGTTTGTGCTGATGATGTCGTTCAGAAGAACAATGAAAGCTCCACGACCAAACCATTCAACTCAGAGAACAAAACTCCACCTAAAACTAGGTTACATAATATGAGCTACAAATCTTCTCCATCATCTCATGTAATCTAGTATTATAATATTTCTATTATTGCAGCATCTTGATTATTTCTTGTCCACATTTCCTCAAAGAATTAGTACATTAACAAAACGTTTTCACATATATATATATGATTGTACAGCTGGATAATAAATTCGTTGAAAGGAGATCCCTTCGTTGAACTTAGTGTTTTTAATGCTACAGTTCTGCTTATGATATATCGATAATTTCATCTCTTTTCATCCTGGCTTAAACATGCATACATCAACGATTATATCTTCCCCTACTAGTGTAATTATAGATATTTTATTGAGAATATTTATCAAACTTACTTTTAATCTGACATTTTATGCTTTTACTGTGTTTTTGTTTTGTCAAGCTTATACTATAAATCCGTTGAGTTATGCCTATCGCTATTGTAAAGATGCTTTTAAAACAGTTGATCATTATAAATCAAGTATATTTAAATCAGTATCATATGAAAAAACCAATGATATAGATTACGGCAGGGCAATAACGGGAATTCCTGTTACTGTTCTGAGTTCTTTGATTTTACTTTCCTTTTTTTTCATCATATAACGTGACTGTTTAATATTCTATTCGACATCTACCGTTTCAAAACACTAATGATGTCAAAGCTACATCAATTTATTGGCGTTTCCAACCTCTTTTTATTCTGATTATTACGGATAACTCTGTATTCTCAAGGTTGATGACTAATACGGTGCATTCACCGATAACATTGCTGTACTTTAAAATGATCACTGATTATACACTAAGTGCTCATCATTTACTTCACATGCTTAACAACACTATGACAAATGTTCAGTCAAAACAATCTATGAATCACGTCTTTTCAAATGATATACCGCTGTTTCTTAAAAGATATTTCACCCTATTAGATTAGACCTGATCATGGCTGTGTGTATACTGTAATAATTTTCGCAATATATATAATACTTATTATTGCAATGAACTTAACTTTTCAGTGGGAATCACTGGATTGTGATGAACCGGTTTTCACTCGCTCTACAGGATCTAAATTTGATCCAAAGTACAGTCATAAGTACTTGTTGTTGAATATTGTTTTTTTAGGCTGAAGCTATCCCATCATATTAAACTGTCGTGATCAAAACCGAATACACTTATCATTTAAACAAATACCAGTTCTTAGTTTTACTCAGTTTACTAAAGTCAGAACTCTATATTTCTTGTATCACGTAATTTTTCAAAGATTGTTTACTATTCAATTGCAGTAATGCACTAAATTCTCATCTAAGGACTATGATTTTTGCGTCACAATTAAAATACTTTTAAAAAAGGATAAAAATTCATCATTACAAAGAACCTAAGAGAACTATAGTTTACTTTAAATGACCATTTAGTTCATTCCTACTTGTTACATAGGTACATTGAACCATATCTTCTAGGGATTCCCATGTTTACAATGTTTAAAAGTGAAATACGTTTGTTTTACCCATCGTCACTTACTCTGATTATTTACATGCGCTTTGCTTAGAAGTGTTTATGACAAATTCAAAAAGATATAGTGTTTGATCAAAATGAAGAAGTTTCTCTTATGGTGAATACTGTAATGATTACTATTTATTGTCATCCTGTGAAGCGGAAATCCTGCTTATGAACAGAAATTCTCTCTATTCCAAAGTGCTTACCTATCTGTTTGCTTAACAGTTCAATCATTTTATATGAGTTATTTTTCTTGACGACAAATTAACATCACTATCTCAGTGTCTCTATATTATTAAATCTTGGACTAAATAGGAAGTTATTGCATTGGATCACATTAAGATACAAATCAGGTGAGTTGCTAACCGATGTCTACTTACAAACATATATATCGTCTAAGAGAAATTGTACATTGGCACAATTCCATTTGTGGTTTCATGTTTGACTAAGAACTGTTAAGTCACATGTTTTAAATGCAAATCATTTACCTCAGTTTTGGTAATTACTTGCCCTCGCATAACGTTTATATTTCAAACTACAATAAGTAAATCTATACTCAATTACTGCTTTATAATGACAATAAATATTCTAAAAAATATATATATATATCTTACCAGTTTAGACAATTTTTGGTAGCTTTCATTAAGTGTATCCATCGCTTTGACAGTTTTGTTGAGTGAGTTAGTTAATGCGGTGATTTCTTCAGATTTTTCTGAAGAACCATTTTCTATGTTATACAAAGTCATAGCTCGTCTACGTGGTATCCATTTAAATTCATTTTCCTGTCAATATATAAGATATATATTTGTATTTATTACAAAATATAATAAAAAGGTAACAGATTTAATCTTTTGTGAAAGAAAGTCATCCCAGATAACTAACAAGTAACTTACTGACTTAACAGTGTAGTATGAAAGAAAACCTAACGAGTTAGAAATGATATCAATTCAATATTGTTGTTGAAAGCATCAGTACATGAACTATAAACATACTATTCACTATTTTATATGGGTTAAAAAACCTTGTTCTTGTATGTTGAACGGTAAATTTGATCATAATTTTTTAAAACAAGTTAATGTATGACACAGGATTGTATTTATGTAAATGATAGATCAATGAGTAGCGCATAGAATCGTTGAGCATTCGGTGAAGGAAATTAAATTGCATCAATGAACTCTTTATCTGTAAAGTCAACAGGGAGAATTCTACATGTGTACCTCAGTATATCGAAGCTGCTTTTATCGAAAATTTAATAGTTGAATTCATGAGTCGGTTAAACCTACACCACCATGGAAAACATGGACGACCGATTCGTTCTAATGGTGGTCTAGCTATAATCGACTCATGAATTCAACAATTAAATCACTACAATCTCCGCAATAACCCCCTTTCCGATAATATTTAAAAGTATAAATAAATAAATATATTGTAGATATCCCAATAAGTAGAAAAATTAGATTTTTTGATGTTTCGTAACTTAGTGTAAGCCACTTCTTCAGTGAATAAATAACCAAATCAAAATCAATCCAAGTTTAAACAGTACAAATGGAAATACTGGACGGTTGACTCGTCATAGTATGGGACTCTTCAGCAGTGAGCATCTACGATCCCGCCCCCAAGAGATTCGAACCCAGAACCTATCAGTCTCGTGCGCGAGCGCTTAACCAACTAGACCACTGATCCAGCCGGTATCCAATCGTGTTAATGCCTGACTTTTGTGTTATTTTGATGTTCCAGTTAATTGTTCATCATATTCAGATAATACAATTTATTAAAACAGTTTAATGTAGTTGTTGTTATCCAGATAATCAGTTGCCAAGGGACAACTAATCACATTCCATCTCTCCCATTAATACTGTTTGGATTTGTCTAAATATACAGGGCTTTGGCTTTTAGTCTTTCTTTGTAAAAATTCAAACCTTTTTAGAGTTTTCTTATGCCATTGAAATTAATTATTTGATCTAACTCTATTGAGTATAATGCTAGCACTGATTTGTTTGCGAACTTTTTTATATGATCTGAGGATTTAGGAATGTTTTATAACTAAAGTTTGTGCTCCTTCACCCTTATATTTAGTTGTCATTCTTATGTAACTTCAAATATAAATTCACTTGATATTGTTTATTTATATCTTCCAATTGATGTTTAGGACTTCGATTGATCAGTTTCACGTTGACATATCATCATTCTATGCGGATCGCCTTGATATAGTCTTAAGTTACAAGCATTATAAAGAAAGATGGATAGTGGCTAGTAGTGGAATCCATGACGCGTGTTTCGTCCTAGTTGGGACTCTTCAGCTGGATATGTTCAGAAAAACATACCTAAATTAAAACTATGGAGTATCTACACATTTTTATACAATTAAAATTCCTATCAAATTCATTGATAAGAAACAATTCACAATACCAAAAGCATCACATCTCTATAATACAACTGAACACATTTGATTTCTGATAGAACCCCTATTGTCTAGACATATCTAATTGATTGATAATAAATAGTTCCTGTTTAATGACAGAATAAACAAAACAATAAATATCTCTATGGAAGAGAAAAAAATAATAATGATGATCCTTTCAAGAACAAATAAAAATTCATTAAATACTTTTCTTTATTCATATTTTCTTTTTCTTAAAAAAGAAAAATAAACAAAACAAAATTTTCACTGATTCATTCATTCATTCATTGACTTATGTAAAAACATCTTGAATAAATATGAATTGATTAATTTCTAATTATCAGAAGGGGTTTTGTGGAAATTTTTAGTTATTTCACGGATTGAAATCATGAATCAATTGAAGCTAGACCACCATGGAAAACCTGAAAGCACTGAACGGCCGTTTCGTTACCAATGGAGTTCAACCAGGTCTGTTGTGAGATATCAACTCACTGATGACAATGGTGTACGGTGGCGCAACTTCGTGGATTGGTTGATGTTAGACATTAACACCAATGGATTCCAGCTCAGTGGTCTAGTTGGTTAAGCATCTGGCGCAAGGCTGATGGGTCCTGGGTTCGAATCTCCAGGGGTGCGGAATCGTGGATGCGCACTGCTGAGGAGTCCCATAATAGGACGAAATGGCCTTCCAGTGCTTCCAAGTTTTCCATGGTGATCTAGCTTCAATTGACTCATGATTTCAATCAGTGTAATTTCTAATTATTTAATAAGATAATAGAATTGAATTAGCTCTATGGTTCATTTTATCACACTCATTAATGATATAATTTAATCTACAATAAAATCATGAAATAATGGAAAGTAAATAAATTTTATGTAGAGGAAGAAGAAATCTTTTGAATTGATTTTTAAAAATCGTGGGAGCAATGGAAAGCCATCTCATTCTGGTATGGAATTGCTCGGTAGTGCACATCCAAAAATCAGCAAGCAGGACTCGAACCGAGAACCTTTGATTTCGCGTGTGAATGCTTAACATCTAAACTAATGAACCGGCATGCTGTACTTGCAGGATATCAATGATGGTCTAACTAAGATTGACATGTGAATTCAACTATGAAAATACTACAGTCTCCACAAATCCATATACTGATAATTAATTAACGTTCATAAAATATACTTTGTTGTAGATGCTGAAAGATTTTATTAACGTAGAATTTGATTCTCTTGTCTCATTCAGTAAATATTATGCCTTCTCTTGGCAGCGGTGTTCTTTACGAAATTGAGAGGATGAAAAGCGAATGTCCGGTACTTTAGTCGACTTCGTGGATATGAGGGATCCACCTAGCGGAGTTGGAAAACACTGGTTCCAAACCAATGGTATACATGGACTCCAGGATCCTGAAGTAACAAATGGCGTATTAATCTATTTTTGGTTACCAGCTACCATGCGACTGCATTTGCTGACGTTACTCCATTGCCCTGTGGATTAGACCTACTGATCAAAGACTCCATGTGTGGCCCCCTAAGAAAACCACCTGATTCAGTTTGGGCACCTGGACAGTATCCCAGCCCTCACGCAAATCGAATGATTTATTTGGCGCATATCTATTTGTTGCCTCCTTGTACCAATGTTTATGTGTTTAAACAAATAAATGAAGGAAATGTAATTATTCAATTTAATGAGAATTTTAATGAACATTCTCTTAATTTTTAGAATGATCTGTCACACAGAACTATACGAATTCTTGACATCCAAGTAAAGATGTATTCACTAAATTCAACGAAGAATAGCTCAGTTAAAAGTTATTTTAATTCAAACACCTCCAACACTAATTTTTTTCATTTACCTAGTAACATAATTCACAATTTGTGTATTTTGGATGCAAGCATATTCGTCGTTATACCAGTCCAAATTTTTATTTTACAAAGACAGTTATTTTATATATTAAGTTTGTATGATGAAGTTACCTTCCCTTATTCAAGTACGAATTTCTAGTGCCTATTAAACGTTAACAACGAATGTTAATCATCGTCATTCGACCTTGTGGTGTAAATGTATATATTGGAACTTTCAAAGATTGACAATCCTAGATTTAATATGATATCAAGGCTGTATGTGTTTAATATCAACTTTTTAAAATGATTTTCTAGTTAATCTTAACGTGTATGGAAAATTACACTAGAAAAACTTTAATTAAACCATATCATGAATAGATGAATAGTGGCTAGCAGTGGAATCCAGGACGCGCATTTCGTCTCATTTGGGACTCATCATCTGGATGTACCTGCATCTCAGAGTTGATGTTCGCTCTGAAACTCGAACCTAGTACCATTCGCTTCAAACGACAGTACTGGGTTCGAGTCCCAGAGTGAACATCAACTCTGAGATGCAGGTACATCCAACTGACAAGTCACAAATAGGACGAAACGTGAGTCCTGAATTCCACTACTAGCCACTGTCGATCTCTCTTCATGATGCTTGTGACTTGAGGAAATATCGAAACAATCCGCATAGAATGAACATATGCCAACGTGAGACTGATCAATTGCAGTGCTAAATAACAATGGCAAAGTACAAGTAAAACAACACCAAGTCAACGTATCATGAATACTTCACATATCTGTGTATCAGACAGTTACTATCAAAAGTGTAACAATGCCTACTAAATCCTGTGTTTATTACAATGATTATCCAAAAATCATAACTGTTAACATTTTATCATTGAAAATTCCATCTAAAACATTTACTACATTAATCCATTTAAAATAATTCACTCTTAATGATGTATTTGATAGAATATATCATAGTAAAAGTAGAGTACTTATTATTATTTTAACGATCACGCTAATACAACAACAACAAAATATCCATTTCTTCACTGAACATTAAGAAAACTTTCAGCTTATGAATAAACAAATGTCTTTAGTTCAGTTCAACAAACTAATAAATAATCCTGAAATAGTAACGTTGAAAGTAGTATTGATGAAAGTTTTGAAAAAACATAAATTGGGTTATTAAAAACATTTCCCCTGATAATCATTACGTGTCAATAGTTGAAATCATGAGTCAATTGAAGCTAGACCAACATGGAAAACCTGGAATCACTGGATGGCCGTTCCGTCCTATTGCGGGACTCCTCAGCAGCGAGCATCCACGATCCCGCCTCCCGCGACATTCGAACACAGGACCTATCAGTCTCGCGCGCGAGCACTTAACCATTGGACCACTGACCCAGTATCCAACTTCAACCAATCCACGAAATTGCGCCACCGTACACTATTGTCTTCAGTGAGTTGATATCTCACAACAGACCTGGTTGAACTTCGCTGGTCACTGCTTCTCACTAAAACTCCAGGAAATGCCTCCTGAAGTCAATTGACTCATGATTTCAACTTTTGAAATTACTAAAAATGTCCACAAAACCCCTTCTGATAATAATTACATGTCTTAAATAAGAAATGATTGTCATTATCTCAACTCAATCAATAAAATACAAGTCTCTTCAGTTTAAAAGTTTTTCAGAATCAGTAATCAAAATGCTATGTAACATATTGCTTCAATATCTCAACAACAACAACAAAAATCGATGAGACTATAATCTATGGACGACCTTTGAGAGACTCTAGACTGACTTTTCGAGTGTCCACCTAATAACTAGGACCAAATAAGGGTTATAAAGTAGTGTGAGAAATGAGAATTATAATTGACAGTTTTGGTGATTAAGGTTAGAAATCAGATTTAGTGTTTTCATCATGAACTGACATCAGTTATAATGCCAAAACTTTATTTATCCGGATGAATGAGTGAATTCCGCGCGAAAACTCGAGACCTATTATCTTATACCTGATTGATTCGTCTATAAATTAAGTATTTGTAATAGAATACATAGTATATTCTATATAATTTACTTACTTTGATAAGTTTATCAATGTAAATTTCTAGACCAGTTAAGTCATCGGTTAATTTTGTTCTTAAATATATTATAAAATATATATAATGCCATACATTATGATCCACTTCAACATGTTCATCAAAGCTTGTATTCGAATGATCAAATGCTGAACGATGTAATCCTAAAATATAAACATTAATATTGAATTACATTGAAGCATAACAATAATGATGATACAGTGAAATAAATGAATAGTAATTTCTGTATAATAAGAAATAAGGATGTAATGGATCATTATTGATTTATGATCTGAAACTCTATAGGGAATAAAATACAAGTAGGGAATTCATCTAACTGAGGAGTGAACAATTTAACTCGATCAAGCAATTAGAATCCAGTAGTTCATATTTTATTAAAATACCTTATCACCTATTTCATTCCCTAATGAGATATTGTAGCTGTCTTTCTTTTTTAAGTTCAATTACTTCGTACATCATGAACAGTCACTGATAAAACTCTGGTAAAAAATAATCAGGAAACTAGAAACTAGTCAGTATATGATTATTATCATTATTGAGCTATTGTACACAGTTTCAATGCGTGGTATAGCAATGTGTTCACCTCTAGGTCCTATTCTTACTGAGTTTTTTCTTGTGAAACTAGAAAATGGACCACTCAAAGATGTTATCGATAAGCTTGACTTCTATTGTCGTAACGTTGATGACACTTTCATTATTGTCAATCGGAGCATTGGAAAAGAAGAACTCTTAGAATTATTTAACAACAAACATTCAGTAATTAAATTTACATGTGTAGAGGAACTAGATAATAAACCAATTTTCCTTGAACTTTTGTTAAACAGAAAAGAAAACGTATAATTCAGTTGGTATTGTTTTACTTGAATCTTCCCATTGATGTTTTAGGACTGAAATTGATCAGTCTCTTATTGGCAATGTGCATACCGTGAGTATGCCTCGATATTGTCTTAATTTACAAGCATATAAGCAAAGATGGATAGTGGCTAGTAGTTGAATCCACTATCCATCTTTGCTTATATGCTTGTAAATTAAGAGAATATCGAGGCATACGCACAGTATGCAAATATGCCAATAAGAGACTGATCAATTTCAGTCCTAAAACATCAATGGGAAGATTCAAGTAAAACAATACCAAGTGAATTAAACTTTACCCCATTGCACAAGTAAGTGGCTATCAGGACTCAGTAGCTAAGTGGATAACGCGATGGCGTTTGAAGCGAACGGTAATGAGTTCGAGTCCAAGAGTGGACATCAACTCTGAGATGCAGGTACATCCAGCTGACGAGTCCCAAACAGGACGAAACGCGAGTCCTGGATTTCACTGCTAGTAATATCCATCTTCGCTTAGAAAAGAAAACGGTTCTATCATTAGAAATGTGTGTAGAAAAAGCTCTTCATCAAGGCAATGCACACATCTCTTCAGCTTTGTACACCTTCATTATAAGAGAAACTTAGTCAAATGTCATGCAAATAGAGCTAGGACAAAATGCTCAGTCGATACAATCAACAAAGAATTACAGCTCATACATAATATGTTGATTGAAATGGGTTATGCACAAGGTTTCCTAAAGAAACACATGTCTGTAAGAAACAATCAACAGCTAGTAAGAAACCTGTCTTCTTGAAGCTGCAATTCAATGGAGATGTAGCTGGTGATATACTACGTGATAGACTGACTGGAGCACTAAAGAGAACGTTTAATACAGCCAACCTCTGTCTATCGTATTCGACCCGATCTATGGTGATTCTTCAACTAAAGGATAAGTTATCTGGTTATGCCACTTCTATGTGTATCGACGAATTCAGCTGCTCCTGTGGAGAAAGCTGTATTGGTTTCACAATCCGACAATTGAAACAAAGAGTTAGTGAACATCTCTCTTTTCTTGGTTAGGAAAAGTTATTATCATGATGCAGCTCGGTTCTATCACACTTGATCGATAGCTGTTATGTAGTAGACAGAAATAAGTCATTTAAAGTTATTTATCGTATTCCCACTAGTTTTCCTTATGCGGTTCGATCTCGTCTCTTACACACAGCTATAGGAATTCAAGCCAATAATCTAAGTTTTTGTGTTCATAAGAAATATATCTCTCCCTTGCCCTGAATAAATGATTTTATATATTATTATTTTCCACACTCTCCGTATGTTTATTATTCTTCATCTACTTCTTGTCTCTTTTGAAATGTATGCTTCAGTTGCCAACTACCTGACACACTTCTTATTATATAATCCTATAATTATTTTATGAATGTTATTTCAGTGACTACATATTTTTCAAGTCACTGATCTATCTCATATTATGAAACATTATAGCCAACTTTTATCATTCTTATCACAACTAGTACACTCGACATCCTACTATCAATTTGTACTTTTCACTTATTATGTTTATTTATGTAATGTATTCCACTATTATCATTATCACTCATAAACTGCTTTGATTGGTTTAATAATTTCATATATGCATATAAATATTGTGGTGTGCGCTACTTATATACACATAAGTAGTATATAACGGTAGTCAGATATAGAATGTATTTCAAAAGAGGATCGAGAACGAAAGATTGGGAATGGAAAGCAATGGGCATGAAAATGCATAAACAATGAAATTTTACAAAAATAACTATTTACTGTATGGTTCTCAGATTTTAGTGAGATATTCTGTAATTACGTGTTCAAACACATTCGATTGTAATCACAATTGATTGATCACTGAGTGGTGTTCAGTGTCATGTGTGTCAAGTCCTTCTTGGTGCAGATCGACCAAGTTGCAATGTGGCCACCAGTCTAGATGACTCGACACTGCGTGCACTATGTTGAGATTAGATGGTGGTTGGAGATAGTCAACAGGAATCCCTGGACTCGGGTTCCTTGCTACTTGGCACTCGTCAGCAAGGTGTACCTATAATCTTGAGGGATCTGGGGCTCCCTGACGGATACGACCCCGTGTCACCCAGCTTTACAGTCACATAAAATTGGGAATTTTTAAAATTATATTTTTTCACTTACCACAAACACAACAATGATTTTTATTTAATTCTTCAGAATTTTGTTTCTCTTGACGAAGTGCAGCAAATGTATCCACAATGACACCAAATATTAAATTCAATATAATAACAATAACAATAACAAAAAATGATAAATCATAAATTGTTCGAAAAAGAAATGAAGCATCCTATTTAAAACAAGAGAGAAAAAACAAGAAAGAAGAGAACAATGATCGTAGAGATAAATGTAAAAAACACTTAGTTGTACTGATAATAACAAACATTTATTATAACTAATATACATCAAATCTTGTGAGGTGGGATCGTGGATGCGCACTGCTGAGAAGTTTCACAATAGGACGAAAAAACAACCGTCCAGTGCTTCTAAGTTGTTCATGGTGGTCTAGCTACAATTGATTCATGATCTCAACTATTAAAATATTATTAATATACATTAAGTAAAATATGATAATTGTTATGAAACGGAATATAAACTACCTTCTACTAATAATTAACCTTTTAAAATTAAACCGTTAAGAATTTGTGAAAACCACGCATATAAATTGACAGACTTATACTCACTATCTCCTAGTGGCGAGGGTTTTGCTTACGAAATTCAGCGGACAAAAAGCGAATGTCCGGCGCATTAACCGGCTTGGTAGATATGGAGAATCCACCTAGAGGAGTTGAAAAACCCTCATTCCAAATCCAATGGTATACATGGGCTCCAGGATCATAAGGAATCAAATGGCATATGAACCTATTGTCGGTCACCAGCTACCATGGAACTGTATCTCCCGACGTTGTTCCATTGCCTTATGGATTAGACCTACTTGTAAAAGACTCCGGATGTTATCCCCAAAGAAAACAACCTGATTCAGTTTCGACACCTGGACACTATCCCAGCTCTGACATAAATCGAATGGTTAATATTGGCACATATCTATTTTTGTTATCTCATTGTACCATTGTTTATATGTTTAAATCAATAAGTCAAATATTAAACAGTTGTTTCAAAGAAATCACCATTCCATTTATTCATTACAACAACAACAAAAAAACTAATAGTGTTTATGTGAATAAATTATCAAACGATTTATATTTGTTGCTATGGCCTGTCATAATAGTTTTTTTTCTTTTTTTTTGGTAAATAAATGTCAACGAATAATGATATTTTAGTAATATATTTCCAATTAGTAGTAAAATTCAATTACTAACGATACAACAATCGAGTGTAAATTGATTTATTGGAAAGTGAATTCATTTTCTCTTTTTTTTTCTTTTTTTTAAAGATTAACCTACATTGAAATAGTATAAGGATCAAAACAATATACAAACAAGTTTGACAATAATAATGCTGTATTATCCAAATGATCAAAAGTGATCTTAATTGTAGTTATGGAAATTGTGACATTTATTGTGTGTGAATAAGAAAATTAATTAATGTATATGTTGAGATATGAATAGGTTATCATTATCTACGTAGAAAGATATTAAAGGTCAATTGGATAGTTATACTAATATTTTGAAAGGTAAAATATGTGTATTGATAATGAATATGATACATTTATGTTCTTAATAGAGTGGATTATTCAAGTTTATTACTGATCCATTAGATAGTGATGACACTTGGTCAAATAGATGTTCATGAAGTATCAATTAGTTAATCAGTTAACAAAACTGTTTCAGTTCAATTATATTCATACTCAAAGGCATATTTAACAAACAAAACAAACTGAATAGTAATTATAGACTCCTGATCTACAATTGGCTCTAACTTAATGACATTGGTATTGCGGGACTTTCGAGTGTTTTTCCAATTCTATGTGATAGAAAGGCCTCAACATATACAAAGGGAAAACCAAGGTCCTCAAATACAACTCGGAAATCAGCAATCTGATCACTCTTGATGGCGAAACTCTGGAAGATGTAGAATCCTTCACATACCTAGGAAGCATCATCAATGAACAACGAGGATCAGATGCAGACGTAAAGACGAGGATCAGCAAAGCAAGGGTTGCATTCCTACAATTGAAGAACATATGGAACTCAAAACAACTTTCAACCAATATCAAAATGAGAATCTTCAACACGAATGTCAAGGCAGTTCTACTGTACGGAGCTGAAACTTGGAGAGCTACTAAAACCATCATAAAGAAGGTGCAAGTATTTATTAATGGTTGTCTACGCAAGATACTCAACATCCATTGACCGGATACCATCAGTAACAGCCTTCTCTGGGAGAGAACAAACCAGATTCCAGCTGAAGAAGAAATTAGGAAAGACGATGGAAATGGGTAGGATATACATTACGCAAATCATCAAACTGAATCACGAGGCAAGCCCTAACTTGGAATCCTGAAGGGAAGCGGAAAAGTGGAAGGCCAAAGAACACATTACGTCGGGAAATTGAAGCAGATATGGAAAGGATGAATAAGAACTGGAAGGAGCTGGAAAGGATTGCTTGGGACAGGGTTGGATCGAGAATGGTGGTGAGCGGCCTGTGTTCCTTCACGAGAAGTAACAGGCGTAAGTAAGTAAGTAATGTGATAAAAGGAATTTATAAGTCTACGATGAACCTAGATATCAAATCACTGCCAGAAGTACATATTATATTCACAACAATCATTGGATCAACATTAAGAACATTCAAATATTTCAATAAGGTTTCTTCAATTATTAAGAAAAGTGAGTAATTAAAACATTTCATATAGTGCTTAATCCTACTGTACTCAACAGAAATAAAAGTTTAACTGAATAAGTATATTTAATCTATTCACATCATATTACCAAAAATACAAGCAAACAAACTAAACTACTTCTTTACATTATCACATATTACATCAAATATCCATCCCTTCTCCTACGCAGGAATTTACAAAGCATGTCACACACAAAAGCGTCAAATAGTTTATTTGTCTACTCATTGGAATATCATAAATATTCTATAATCTTAGTTGTACAACCAACTTAATGCTCAATTTACTTTAGATTTTCAAGTTAAATCACAGTGTAGTGTGTGCTACTGATACCTGAAAGCAGAAGGTCATGAAGAACAAAGAAAACACAACGAGATCAAAAAATGATTGATGTTTAAACAAAAGGACAATGAAATCTGAGACGATTGATTGATATTTGCAAAAGGAATAGTCAAATTTGAGACAATCAATTGACATTTTGGAACTCAAGTATTTCCTGTGTTCATATATATATATATATATATATATATATATATATATATATATATATATATATATATATATATATATATATATATATATATTCGATTGGCCTCAATTGTGTTCTTGTTCACTACAATGGTAGTGATAACAAGTAATGTTAACTAAATTAATTGCTAATACTTAATAAAAACATTACATAACTATATGTAACAAATCAAAGAACAAATTTCCAAACTTATTTCTTAACCCCTAATAATAACACTAAGCTATTGAAGCAATATCTGGCATTATTGTTCATATTTTAAACTAATTCCAAAATGTTAGATTTGATTTTCAGTTAAATGAAGTGTGCCTGCTTACTACTTTAGAAAATGTATCCAAGATTAATCTAATGTCATTGACTTAATGTAATATTCACTACTTAAAAACTCTTGTAACCCATGTTTTAGAATGATGAGTCAACTTTTGATTAATTGTTGCCTTTAAGCTTTGCGATTAATTCTAATACGTGAATGTTCAATGAATATACTATAAACAGAGATCCCGAACACTTTTCTGTGCACTTATTGGGTTAGCAGTGTGATTTTCAGTTAAGACTTCATTTCACGCCCTAACTTGTACTTTTTTGTATTTTCTATCCAACATGTTCATAACAAATGGTGGCGACTAATCCTAGATGCATCAAATCCGATCTTTCGGTGAAAACAACTCCTTAATATGCATCATTTATTCACTATATGAGCGGAAAATCGACCAAAAGTCTCAGATATCACAAATTTGTCAAATATTGGTCATGTTGAAGATAACCTTAACCTCACCTAAAACATCACTTGTCAATCCCAAAATTGTTTTGGATTTATGTATATAATTCAGGTAAGATAAGATGTGTCTAAGTTTTGTGATATGCGTATAGAAAACATATCTTCTATATTGACGTATGTCATCGACTGAAATAGGTCCTCAAAGTCATGAGTGGGATTAGCGCTCAGTCATAAAGTCTATTTCAGTCTAGATCTGATATTAAGGCATTGGGGCTTTTCATGCTACTCTGAGAAACGTACATAACATTAATTTGTTTTAAATTGTTTGTCATCCAAAAGATATTTCACTCATATAAAATCAGCTAAGATTGATTGAGTTATCTTTTTATGTGTTTTCGAAATAGTCCACACATTCAATATGATTCATATATTCCAAGTCAAAGTTAGGATCCCTTTGTTTTAGTAATATTAATTGACATATATATACACATTTATGAACAGATAATAAACCATATGCCTTGGACTGTTTTGCAAATATAAATGAATCACTTAAGTAAATATTGTATTGAATGGAAAACTCAACAATTGTCTACTACTATAATCAAACTCTTCAGTTGTTAAAAATTGTGTGACTGATGACAATCATACTACTAGATAAAAAATATTTCACATTCTTTCTAAGCGAAGATGGATTGTGACTAGCAGTGATATCCATGACACGCGTTTCTTCCTATTTTAGACTCGTCATCTGGATGTATCTGCATCGCAGAGTTAGTCTTCACTCCGGGATTCGAACTCAGTACCATTCGCTTCAAACGCCATCACGTTATCCACTTAGCTACTGAGTTCTAATAGCCGCTAGCTTGTGCAATGGGTTGAAGTTTAAATTCACTTGGTATTGTTTACTTGAATCTTACCACTGATATTTAGAACTACGATCGATCAGTCACTTATTGACAATATATACAGCACTAGGTGAGAGTCTCAGAGTGAATATCAACTGTGCGGGGGCAGGCCCATCCAGCTGACGAGCCCTAAATAGAACGAAACGCGCATCCTGTATTCCACTGCCAGACAAAATCCATCTTTGCTTAGAACGTTTGTGGCTTAAGATAATATCGAGACAATCTACACAGTATGCACATGAGCCAATAAGAGACTGATCAATTGCAGTCCTAAACAACAATGGGAAGATACAAGCAAACGATACCAAGAGAATTTAATAATTAACAGTATTGGGTTGTG